CGAGCCCCGGGCCCCGGCGGCCTCACCTGGCGTAGTCCCGCTTGCAGTAGGTTTTTCCGTCTCTCACGAAGCACGTGCAGGTCTCGTCCAGGTACTCGCTGCACTCGGCGCACTTGAGGCAGGCGGCGTGCCACTCCAGGTCGGGCGACACGCGGAGGATGAACTGGTCGTGGATCTGACTCCCGCAGCCCACGCACATGGCCGTCCCGGGCTTCTCTGCCGGGGAAGGGACGCGGGGGCCCGGCGTCAGGCCCCGCCGGGCTGCCCGGCTCCGGCCCCGACGCAGCCCGCTCGCTCGCTCCCCCTCGCCCGCTCCCTCTTGCAAGAAGTGCGACCACCAGGGGAAAGCTGCGACCACGGGAGGGAAAAAATGAAGTCCTCTGGTTTTGTGCACGCTTTCCGCTATCACGGAAACACAAGCGTTGGGATCGTCGTGTAACGACGCCAATGGAAGGTGACACGAATTCTTGGTTTTTAAACGGGAAATCCAGAGCTAGCAGCACCCTGGATGTGCGGGCGCCGAGGCAGATCAGATCGGTGCTGGGCTGGAATTTCCGTCCCCGGGGCGACTCCCTCCGGTGCCATCGCCGCCGCCCGCGGGGTCGGAGCTCAGTCGCCGCTCCCCGGCCCGGGGCCGTTCCGCAACTCCCCTTCCAGAACCCGCCCCGAGCTTTGCCACGACAAGCAGATCACCACCACCACCAACAACAAAAATCCACATCCCGAAAGCAAGCCTAATGGTCTTAGCGCATTGGAGGAAAAAAAAAAAAAAAGCAGCAGAATTCACAGCCCGAGGTCAGAGCAGCCGAGCGAGCGCGGGCGCCGAGGACGACACCGACCCGCGGGGCGCCGGGGGAGGCGGGCGGCGGGGACTTCGTTGTTTGGGGGTTTGTTTGGGGGTAATTTTTCTTGCTTTGTTTTTAAATTCTGGCCGGCCTCCGGCCACTTGTAGAATCCGCTAAGCGTTAGCCATCCCGCCGCAGCTCGGCCAAGCTGAAGCATGCATGCGCGCGCGCCCACGAGCCACTTACTCTTGGAGAGATCCCCCATAGCACCTAGAAAAGGACAGGGAAAAATAATATCCACCATGCAGAAGGCGACGTGCGCGCAGCGCGGCGACCCCGGGGCGGGAGGCGGACCAGGCTCGCGCGCCCGGCCCTTGGCTCTTGGCTAACTAACTCCGCGGCCCCGCCGAGTTGCAGGAGCGATTCCGCACCGGCCCCGCACGCAGCATGACGTCAGCACGCACTGCCCCCCCCCGCGCTCGGGGGCCCGAGCCGGGGGCGGGATCTGTGACGTCACCAAGAGCTGCCCCTGAGCCGCTGTGTGTGTGGGGGGGAGATGCTTGCAGGGGCCCGGAGGGAGGAGGGGGAGGGCCCGGGAGCTGGTGGGCGGAGTCGGATCCGGAGGAAAGAGGGCGGGGTGAAATACGATTGGCTGGGAGGCAGCGAGCGAGCTTCGATTGGCTGGGAGTAAACAATGGGGAGCGGCCCCGCCCCCTGAAATTGACCCGGACCC